TCTCTTGTTCAGTGACTTATGCTAAAAATTGATGGAGAATATTTTTGTCCCTTATACTATCTTTCTACAACGACATCTTGTGAGAAAAATAGGTAAAAACTAGTAATAAATACGATATTAACCCTAAAATGAGTTTTTGTTTTTTGAGATTTTTGACGTTTAGGCTGATTTTCGAGTTCTAGTCTATTCTGAGACTTATAGTAAAACTTTATGGCGAACATTTCTGTAGAATATTTTGAGGAGCTTTAACCCCGTTTTGAATGAGTTTTCAATCACTCCAGGAAAAGGGGGCCGAAAAGACCCCTTTAATGAGTCGCATACCAAAATATTCCTCGATATTTTATCAGTAATATTGCCGAAGACACTATATACCTAAAATGCAAGGATTTCAAGAAATCATAATCCGAAAATTATCAAAATTCTTGAAATGGGGGAATATTGGTCCTCCTTTTTAGGTTACCTCCCGACGTAAACTTTCAAAACGCCGATACACGTGTCTTCTTTTTTAGCCCCTCTTTCATAATCTGTTGGAATTTCCCGGTGATTATTTTCTGTGTTGCACAGTGTAATATTAAAATTTCATATTTTTGTATTCTGACTGTTTTTCTTAACACTAAAAAACATACAACACTTTCAAATTATTTGTAATTATGTTTTTTTTTTTTAATTTCCACTAACGATCCGTTCATAATCTGTCATACCCCTTGTAGCACCAGGAAATATTCATCGGAGAAGCCTATAGAAATATCCTGCAAAGTTCTAAAATATTAAGTCAATCTAGCTCGCAATGGAATCGGAATACAAAGCTAAAAATTTGAACAGAAGCATTTATTGGGACCTAATCACCTAATTAGATTTTTTATCCTATTACATTTTTATACAGTCGAGTACGCTTATAAAGAACACCGGTTATAACGAACATTCTTTATAGCGAACACAAGTTAATTTTTACGCTAATCATCACAAAAGTAAATTTTTACGCTAACCCTGGTAATCTTTACAAAAAGTTAATGAAAAAGAGAATCACCTTAAGCTGGGGAAAACGAAATCCATTATTTTTATTTGAACTATAGGAATTAATTTAACATGCTTCGGAATATCCGATTTGGGCCAAATATGTTGTTTTGTTGTTGATTTGTTGGCATTTTAAAGATAACTTCATAATGCCTGTCTTGTAGAAGTCCTGCCTTCTATTTGCAAAAAACTCTAGTAGTCGATTTTCACAATTTTCCCTAGACACCAATTTCGTATCATTAAAGAAATGATAATTGATAATAATCGCTTGATGCCAAGTCCGGGCTGCATTAAAACTTCCACACGACACCTCTCCTGTTGGCCAATTCTGGACGTTTCTGGTCAATTGGTCAACCGGTCCATAATAATAAATAATCCCCACCAAATGCATAGCTGGCCGTTAGTCCTGGTTTGGCCAACGTTTGAGGTGCTTCGCCGCTCTTTGACTACGATCGTTTTCGCACAGGGTTATCCGTTTTCTCATCTCCCATTTAAGAAATGGGTCCGATCTATCCTATATTTTTTTGGTTTTATTGGTGTGGCACTCGAACATCGAGCTTCTTTTTGAATCCAGCTTTATGTAAATGGTTTGAAACAGTTTTATGGTCGATTTTTAGCTCCTGGGTGATATTACGACTGCTTACATGCCGGTCAACTTCGATCATTTCTCCGATTTTATCGACATTTTCGACGACAAGCCTAAAGGATTTATTTTTCCCCAAGGTAATATTTTTTTTTCCAAACTAATAGATAATTAACTTGTTCTATAACGAACTAATCCGATTTACCCCTACTAGTTCCTTATAACTAGTTAAAATAGTTTTAATTTTGAAAGTCTATTCAATCTCAATCAGTTAAATGCCCAATTTATATTTAAATGATTTTTTGCTCTGACATTTTCTGAAATTATCCAAATATAATTCTGTTGAATTCTCTAAAAAATTCTTAAGATTGTCATGTCATTGTCAAATTCATAAAAGATTGTCATGGTTTTTTTCAAACACACAAGTCAACATTTTCTTCAGTACTTTTCACTCATGTATTGGATTTTAATCTTTCAAATTATTTTTGTTTCCAGAAATATAATATATATGACTATCTACAAATTATTTTATTAAGATGAACTTTAAATTACATAAAAAACCGGAACAGATAACTCAAGCACTATTTTTATTTAGAATAGCAACCGCAATAATAATTTAAAATTGTTAGAAAAATTTTGTACTTCGTTCTTTCCAAAGATTTCATTTCACATTTTAAAGAGCTTAAAAATGTAATTTTTATTGTTCCATAAATAAAAAAAGAAATTATTTTTTTCTTTGAATATTTAAATTTGAAGAATAAGTCAGAATCAATTTTGTATCGTCTATAATCATAAGGGATTTCAAAGTTCTGAACAAATAGTTTCCAAAGGGCTTACAAAACGTTGGCGACAACAAAAACAACAACAAATTTTGTTAGGCCCCTATTCAAAATTGTTTAACTTGTTCGCTCGACTGGTTGGGTTACTGTTGAATGTTGTAAGAAAAAGAACAACCCACAATTTAGCGGCAAAAAAAAAACTTATAAAAAAAAAGTAAGAAAAAAAAACAAATGCCAGACACCAGTATTTGCCATTGGATTTGTGTGTGTATGCGTAATTATGTTTGCAGCACCCAGTTGCAAACAAGTGCAACCATTTTGTATGACATCCATAGTTTGTTGTTATTGTTTTGTTTGTCTTGTTGTTACTGCCGTTGTTGCCGAAAATGGCAAATTGTGCATTGTTGTTGTTGCTTTTGCTTCTGTCGACAACGTCGCCACTACACTACTCTGTTCCCCACGCTGAGACAAATGAAAGAAGGCAAGCAAATAAACACCAAAAAAATTGCAATCATGTGAGAAAGAAAGGTGGGGCACTACACCAACTGCCTTTCATGGTGCTCTCAACAAAACCAGAGTATCGCACCACCAACACAGGAACAACAATTAATGCCACAAGTTTTTCTTCGTTATTTTCTTTTCTCGTCTTTTTTGTCTGTTCCTTTTTTTGTTATCGTTCGCCAAGAGAATCCTCAAGTTAGTTCCATCACGGTGTGCTCCATAGCCGATTGCGTGTACTTTTGTGTTTCCGCAAATCCATAAACGTTTAAAATCGTATTGAGCCTGTTCGGTTCTGTTTGGGTACATGAATTTTTCAACTGGCTTCAGCCAGCCAAAAGTATTTAAATTCCACTTAAATGAACGCGACGTTATTAAGGCAAACTGGCAAACGTCGGTGCTATTCCAAAAGGAAACTAAACAGAACGCCATACACACGAAACACACGGAACAGATTAATGTGAAAAATTCGAAAATTTGCTAAGGCCAAACAGGAGAAACAACAACAATAAAAACCAACAACGACGACGAGGAATATTCTTGGCTAATTGGAAGGTGGGGCAATTTGCTGGAGAAACTTGTATTAAGAGCGACGCATGCCCAGACGATTGGTTCACATGCCAAGACGCCATTTACAAGAAATAACAACAAGAAGAACAAATAAAAACACAACAAAACCTCTCCAACAACAGAGTAGCGAACTTTGTTTGGCTGAGCATAAGAATGCAGGGAGAATTCTTGTTGCTCAGACTCTCTGTGTGACAAGTGCATGAAGAAAAATACCAACTAAGTGCATGGAATAGAAAGAGAGCCACCACAGAGAAAGAAGGAAAGAGATGGCACAAGGTTGTTATTAATTTTTCGAAAATATTGTTCATGCCCTGATTTCCCCTGCACAAACATTCGAATAAAATTTAAAAGCATCTTCTTTGCTTTATATTAGCAAGAGAGCAACAAGGCCAGAGATAGACAAGTTCGAAAAAAGGTGTTAACACACCACCAATAAGAAGAGAACGTTGTTTTGTGTTGTGGCAAAGTGAGTGTCGCTACATCCCTCTCTTTCTCTCTTGTGTTACTGTGAATGGTGTGTGTGCATGCATTTCATTTTAGTTAGGGGAAGATGACTAGCAAACCCAAATGGATGGCAAAAACGACAACAACAACAACAATAATAACAACACATCCACAGCATACGACCAAACAACATACACCACCAATGTGTGGATACACACTGCGTACATTGTAACTTGCCAGTCCGGTTTAGTTGTACGTGAGACTTTGCTGCGCGCTAACGTTGCTCTGTGCTGGGCTGCAGACCGCTTAGAGGAAAAAATTCGTCTTATGAACTGACTAAACGAACACACAGCGACACACAAAAATACATTCGCATAACTTTGAATAAATCGCTCGATCCTGCTGTTAGTGAATACCGTAAAACGCGCGTTCATCGAACATCACCACCACCTACATTCGCATGCGGATTTTTTTTTGGAAAAGAATCAAAAGAAAAATAAGTGAAAAAAACTAAACGACCAAAATAAATTTTGAAATTTATCATTTTTGAGTTTTTATGTTCAGTTCGAATAAAAGGAAAAACAACAACAACAAAGAAAAGTAAAATAATAATTTATTTGCCAGGTATGAAACAAATTGGCAAACGAAAGTGACAGACGTTCTGGTGAAGAAAATTGGTGAAAATTTATTGCAAACATCGGCAACCACAACTTGTCAAAGAAAAATACAAATTAATGAAAAATAAACAAGAAAATAAGTTGGAAAAGAAAATTAAAAACAAATACATATAAAGCCCCCAATCGTATTCCTCCCCCTCACCTATAAAACATCATTGTCAGTGCCTTAAAACAAACAAACAAGCAAACAAAACCAATCTAGCAAAGGATAACAAAATACAACAACAACCGTAAATAAAATAAAACAAATAAAAATTCCAGCTCAAAACCAAATGTATTAAAAATTACACAAGAAAATCATCGGGAAAAAAGAAATTCAAAAAAGGAAAAAACAAACTTCTTTTTTTCAATTACGAAAAAATTGACATAATTTCGTGCATCAACAAAAACAACAACAACATTGTGGAATATCACATTATATAAAAAATTAATTTTTATTTGGAACACCAACGCTTGTTTTAAACATAATATATGGTAATGGCAGAGATTGGTGGCCATTTGGCTCACCAGCTTCCCCTACACAATCACAATCAAACTGGATTACAACCATCGCTGGTGATGAACCATCACCTGGATTTGGATTGTCATGGACATGATGTGATAAGTAAGTACAAAAATATAGAGATTTTCAATTCAAATCTCAGATTTACAATGAAAGATTTTATGATTAAAATTTGCCGTCGGCAAATTTAGCATAATGGGAATATCATTAGTCTTATATGAAATTTAAAGGTATAAATACTTTGGAATTTGGATTTGTTAAGTATTGAGTTATAAGAGAATATCGGAGTCATATTTGCATTCTGCCGCCATTCCTCTTAAATTATATGTTTTCTCTATAGACTCAATAATAGGGAAAAGTAGTTCGAAGTCATTTTGTAAAATTGCAAATGTAAAAAATCAACTTAAAAAAATCTCAGCGTTCAATCGGAACGATCGTTGTAACTAAATTAAAAAAATAATAATTTTAAAACCCTGCGAAGAGATGCGACTGAATAGAATTATTTTATATTCACACAGTCCACAATTAGGCTCTCAGAATCGCTTAAAAGTCTGTTTGGTTATTTCAATTTCCATAATTGATAAAAAATATGACTATAATTTATAAAATTTGTTATAAATTTAGCAACATATTTGGCAAGGTGTATTTAATAAGGTGTATGCATCAGCTACAACAACTAACATTTTACAAAAACAACATTGCTGTCAAGGTGTATTTAATAAGGTGTATGCATCAGATACAACAACAAATATTTTACAAACACAACATTGTTGTTATAGAAATTAAATTGTCATGCTGACAATAAGTTTTTGACAAAAATAAACAAAAACAATATTAATTTATTTAAGTCAAGAACTATTCTTTTAGGAATAATTAATGAATTTGTGTATTCTTGGGTTATTGGCGGTTTTAGGTGAATGAAAAATAAAGTTTTAGACCTGGTAGCGATTAATTTTCAGTTTCCCTCATGCAGCCCATGGCTCCTTGTGATGTTGTTTATATTGTGAATTACAATCTATTTTTTCTATGGAGTGGCTTAAAATTTTACCTTCTTAAAGAAAATTGTATGTCCTTCAATTTCAATCCCCGGCCAAAGACAAAATCATGGAAATTGTGTTAACCGTATAAAATCTTTTTATAAGCGTATTTAACTTCCGCCGAGGATTGTGACAAGCACCAAGGGGCCGATTCCAATAACATAATATCCTCGATTTCATGAGTAGCTGGGATTTATGGACAGATTTCCACACATAACATAAAATTTGTGGACCAATCGGCGAACGGGGTTATAACTGATTTGAGCATAGGTTTCCTTTCCGTCCGCCTCTATGAATGTATTTTCTTTAATTTTTGTTATTAAAAAATACTACATTTAAAGGCCATTTTGGAAATCGCAATGTAATATTGAAAATGTTTTTGACAATTTACTTTACAAACAATAAGGAAAAAAGTTTGAAACCATATGATTGTCACTTACACCTTATTAAATACGCCTTGATTGCTGTTATAGAAATTAAATTGTCATGTTGACAATTAGTTTTTGACAAAAATAAACAAAAACAATTATTAATTTACGTTTATTAATTTTTGTCGAGAACTATTCTTTGAAGAATAATTAAGGAATTTGTATTTTCTTGGATTTTTGGCAATTTAAAGTTTAAGACCCGGCCACGAATTATTTTGAAATGTTTTCAACGTGTATCCCTTGGTTCCTGGTGATGTTGCTTATATTGCAAATTAAAATATTTTTCGAAGAATTGCCTTCAAATTTCGCCTCCTTAATGAAAGTTTGGTGGACGTAAATCGCCGGCCAAAACTAAATCAAGGAAATTGTGTTGATCTTGTGCAATCTGTCTATAGGAGTATATCAAAGACTTTCACCTTTGGATTGATTTTTGGAATCTGCCTATTTCAATATAGGCTACGTATGTGTAGCTAGGATTTATGAACAGATTTCAACACGGGATACAAAACATAAACTATTTGGATCAAATCAGCGAAAGGGTTTAAAACTGATTTAAGCCTAGGTTTCCTTTTCGTCCTCTCTATGAACATATTTTTTTTTATCAAAATCCTAAATTTAAATTCAATTTTGTAAATCGTAATTAATTGTTGAAAATGTTTTTGACAATTTACTTTACAAGCAGAAAAGAAAAAAGTTTAAAATCATATGATTGTCACTTACACCTTATTTAATACACCTTGATATTTGGGTGATTACAAAATGTTTAAAAATACAAATATTTTTCAAAATGTTATCAAGGTCTGATATCTTCTAAAAATAGTTTTATAGTCCCGAATTTAAAACAAAATATTATTACAAAGGTCGCATTTAAATAAAAATTGCACATTTTTTGCGTTTCTTCATAACCTTATTCAGATCTTTTTGAATTTCTTTTTGAAATGAGGAAGTTTTTTTTTCTTTCAATCGTTTATATTTTCAAGAAGTTTTCATAAAATCTATATAAAAGCTGATGTAGTTGGTTCTGTAACGAAATTTAAATTAATTTTTACAATGAAGATTTAATACGAATAATGTAATTACATAGTTTTCGTATATAGGAAGAGCTTCGAAGATTTCGGGAGTACAGATTTTTTAATCGCAATATTTTCCCAAACATGTGAATTATTCAGATTAAGTAAAAAATTTTGTAATTGATTAATAGAAGGACGCATTTAATAATTAGGGATGGGTGCTTCTATTTCTTCTTCCCATTGATTAATTCATTCCGGAAAGATTAATTCTTTGCGGAAAGCATTTCAAATCGAAATGGCTATAAATAGATATTTCGGGATTTCAGATTGTAAAAGGCTGTCTTTCATTTGTTCCTTTGCATAAGCCAAAAAATCAAAATACAAACATTTCCTTTTAGAGTATGTGCAGATTACTCGGAATGTAATCGGAGAAATAGTAGACCATAACGAAAATATATACAACTTAGTACTGCAATCCTTACCTTTTAATCAAACATTTTTTTCATTCACTCAAATCCCTTTAAATTCTGCAATTAATTTTATTTTTCTTCTATTTATAACGTGAAAAATATTGAGTTCACAGACTTGTGTTAAAAATTTCGTATTGAAATTTTCAAAATCAGATAAAACGCATAAAACATAATACAGTCACACATACACACATTTTTTAATTTTGAGAATTTTTAAATATATTCATTTATAAATATTTTGGCATCTAACAAAACGTCTTGAAAATATTTCCATCATTTGCTGTGAATTTCTTGTTTTTGTTTTATTTGAATAATTCATTTTCACGAATCCCTGTATATAAATATTCATTTCAGACTAAAAGAAAAATATTGGTATTGAACATCTGGAATGAGATACACACATTTTCCAGCATTCCTTTCCTTAGCACAAAATTTTTCCGTTGACAATAAATTCTTACGAAATATATTATTGTCTTATAAATTTCCTGTGTTTATTATTCCTCCTCATAACATTTTCTCCTTCATCAAAAAATTTAAAAAATAAACCTGCATAAAATCATTACTTCTTGGATTTCTGGTCAAATTAAAATTTTTTTCCCGCAAAGATAAAATATGGTTTATGTTATAACTTGGTTGTCCTGCTGCTGCTGGTCATTAATCCAACCATACTATAACAACAACAACAGCAACTGGGCGATTGCCAAAGATTAACCTGATTGTAAATATAAAAATAAATAAACATAAATAATCAAAAAAAATAAAAATACAAAAATCATTTACCGGTTAATTTTCGTAGTTAATTGCAGCAAATGTTTAATGATAAATTTCGTTTATATTACAAATCTAACGTGTGTGTGTGTGTTTTTTGTGAGTGTGCAACCGAACGAACAAACGAGTGTGACGATGATCACGATTCCGATGATCATTTAAATTACTCTTGATTTGGTGACATTAAAAAAAAAACATTGATACTCGGCCGCGAGTTGTCGGTAGTCATTTGGAAAGTGTGCTGCCTGCTCTGTCTGTTTTGCCAGACATCGTTGTTGGCAAATTTTTGTTGTTGATGTTTTTGTTGTTATTTTTTTTTATTATGTATGGAGGTATGTACGCCACAAGTTGAATGACATTTTTATGAGTGAGTGTGTGTTTGAGCAAAGCTAAACTAATTAGTTAATAATTACAAAATTAACAAAAAAAATGCAAAACAGCTGCAACAATAACACAAAAGAATATATGAAAATGTTAAAGATCAACGCTGACGTAGAAAGAGATCAGTGAATAAATAAATTCACTCATTTAACACAAGACCAACATGAATAAATTTCAAAAAAAGTCCAACAAATTTGTTTCTCTGATTCATTCACTTTGAAAATGAAATATTATCATTTGATGTGTGATTGTGTGTCGGCTTTTTAATTTGTTACCAGAAACCAGTTGCAAACACAAAGGGGAATAAATTTTTTTTGAAATTAAATATTTGTTTAATAACATTTTATTAGATGTGTTCTGCAACCCTAGATTTTTTTAAATTCAAAATATCAAAATTGTTTTTTAACAATAAATAAATATATTTATAAAAATCCGTAGATTATAAATATAAAATTATAAGAATTCTTCAAAGATTATTAATTTAAAAAATTCGAAATATGAAAAAAATCTTTAAAGGATGACAAATGACAAACATTTCTTAAAAAAATATTTGTAAATAATAACTTTAAAAATACTCTTAAAAAATGTATAAGAGTATCATAAAAAAAGAAAATAATAATAACACGTTTTCAATATTTCATTATGTTCGCTTATTTAACTTCGCTAAATATTTCCTTGATTTTTTTTCTTTTCATTTTAATAATTTTCCCCAAAAAATCAAATTTCAAAGTCAACATCATCAAAAAAATCAATCCATAATAAACTTCCGTCATTGTAAATAATTAATAATTACATGCGTTTGAAAATAAACTAAATATTTAATAAATTCAAAAAAACAAATACAATAACAACAAATATTACTAGATTTTGTTCATTGCAGCAATTCGCAGAACCAAGTGATGTAGGAAAAACTAGCAGAATTTTGAGTAGTAGTTTTTGTAATACAAATTAAATGCTAAATTGAAATTTAATGAGCGAGAGAGGCGAAAAAGTTGATTGTGTCTGTGT